AGGAGGAGAGGGAGGAGGAGAGGGAGAGGGAGGAGGAGGAGGAGGAGGAGGAGGAGGAGAGGGAGGAGTTGGAGAGGGATGAGGAGGAGAAAGAAACAGTACCTGGGCTAGACTGACCACCGGCGCTTGGAGACGACTTATAACGGGAGACAAGGGTAGCAGCGTAGGACGGCTCCTCTTTGCCGCGGCTGTGGTGCTGGCCGCGGCGGCCATCTTGGCTGTGAGGTTCTGAGCCGGCAGCGTCGACACCCGCCTTGCTGTTGTCGTTGCTGTTGCTGTCCCTGTTGACGTTATCACTGCAGCTAGCATTGCAGCCACGGCTGTTGTTGCTGTGGATACCGCTGTCGCTACAGCCATTGCTGTTGTTGCTGTTGCAGAACAAAGGAGGCACGGTGGAGGGGGCAGAGAGCAGAGAAGACAGCTCTTGTCCCAAGTCGGACGCCATCTTGTTCTTAAACTCGCGACCTATTTTCCCCCACGCCGAATCGGGAGGAGGGGAGGTGAGAAGAAGCGATGACTGCGGCGAGGACGACGATATACCCAGCCCCCCTCCTCCTCCTCCTCCTCCTCCTCCAACACTCTTGTTCATCTCCCCGCTCGACGACCGACTTCGCACCGACCTCACCACGACTTCGGCGTCATCGGCAAACTTGACAGTCCAGGGCGGCCCGTGCGCCGATCGTTCTATTGTGAGCGGGATTCTCTCGTCATGCCGCGAGTTTTTCACAATGGCCGACGACATCGGAGCAGTGGCGTGAGTGAGGTGGTGAGGAGGAGGAGGGGGAGGAAGAGGGGCTGGTGGGCGAGAGGGGACGGGCGGGAAATCCGTCCAGGAGTGGAGGTCAATTTTCTCATCGTCTTCCTCCCCGGCCCGGGTGCCCGAAGACGAAATGGAAGAGGAAGACCGCGACAGCAGACGCGTGCCGGAGCCCAGCAGCCGGGCGGGCGAAGAGCGGGCCGCGTCCCTCTCCTCCTTCTTCTTCCTTCTCTTCTTCTTCTCCCCCTCTCCTCCTCCTGCCCCTCCTCCTCCCAGAGCCTCCCTACTCCCCCCACGTTTCGTCGTCTTCCAGTCTCTGTGCCCAGCGACACCTGGTCTCCCCCCCAGCCCACCGTCCGCCCTACCCTCCCGCGGACCAGCAGAGGTATTGTGGGACAGGGACGAGGGTTGTAGCGGTACGTTCTCCAGCGCTGATTGGGTGGGCGACACCTGGGTTGCCATGGAGACCAGGTTTTGGCGGTGCTTGGGGCTGCTGTAGCCACTGTCGGAATCGTTGGCCTCTGGTCACACACACACAGAAATAACAACAGTTTAGTTTTCGTAAGAGTTTTACATCACTTGCAACACAATTAGGTCAAAATAATAATAAGTGCAGAAGACTAGAGGTGTTACGAGAGAGTAACAAACACGAAAAAGAAGGAGGGGAGATAAAGACGATAGACGTTTGATAGGAAAGAAGGAGGAGAGATAAGAACGACAGATGTTTGATAGGAAAGAAGGAGGAGAGATAAGAACGATAGGTGTTTGATAGGAAAGAAGGAGGAGAGAAAAGGACGATAGGTGTTTGATAGGAAAGAAGGAGGAGAGATA